GTAACCAACCAGCCACAACAAATCCGCGGACATCGAATCTATTTCTATTCATAGCGACCCTGTGTAGGATTAGAAAGACTGTAAGTCTTCCTAGGGGTAGACAGCCTCATTGTTCTCCCTGGATGAGTGGTGGGTTTGAACTGCTGACCTGGCAGTTAGCAGCCCACCTCCTAGCCCAAACGTCTAAAAATTTTAATTCTTTTAATAACTGTGAGAAATATGTATAATAATTACACAACAATTATTTGTTTTCTAAGAAAACGTAAATTTAGAATGAGAGCGTTGAGCAAGTTATTGAAGGAGTGACACGGAGCTCAATCTGAAGGTCCCTGTCTGTCAACCCTCCCCATACACCAGCCACCTCCCTGGAGTGACATGGTCCCAGAACAAACTTGTCACAGTTCATCACCTATTGGGGAACCTGACAAGCCTCCACAGCAGCATTTTCTGAAGCACCATCTGCATGTAACTCAGTCCCAGCTCTGCTCTTTTGTCACCCCCAAACCCTGTCTCTGGTTGAGCTCACTTGGCGAGCCTTGGTGCACAGCTGGACTCAGTCACCTTCAGTGTCTCACTTGAACATTTGGCTGTCTACCCCCTTACCTTCTTAAGACCTCAGTTTCCCTGAATATAAGCAAAGAAATTTAGAATTTCTGGGGCCCAGACACTCTTTGTGATAACATAAAACTTTTTTTCCCCCCAAGAAAGCAGAAAGTTGCTAAGACTGCTTGGTTTCAAGAAGCCTTAATTCCTGGTTTGTCTCAAAGGCAGAGGTGAGAGCATGAAGGTGACTCCCACTCACTCCAGGCCCCATGGTCACCACTACACAGGAGAGGGTTGTGAGGTTTCTGGTTCCATGCTTTCCTACAGGGTCTGCTCCATGCTCCTGGCAGCTGCTCCCAGCAGTTGCGGGGCCAATAGGACAAGGTCTGGGACAAATTACCACTGGATTGGCTCCACAGAAAGGGGGCACTACAGAGCCACTGAGCCGGAGGGAGCAGCTTCCTGCTCACCTTGGCTCGCTCTGGAGGCCAGGAACCTAGTTGGCAGTTGGAGGAAGCAGGACCAGGTCATCTATGGGGTGGGGTGTGGGGCTATCTCAGAGATATTCCTAGGTCCCCCAAAGTACCTTGGTGTACCTACCATGATTGCAAAACCTCTCTGAGGTTCCCCCTTCAGAACATGATACCCCTTTAGAGCCTGAGTGCTCAGACTGGGCAATTTTAAGGGAACAGAGGTGACTGTAAGAATGTGTGTGTGAATTTGAGGAGAGAGCTCAAGGCATCAGCAATGTGAAGATGTTTTTGTAAGTAGCACAAGCACTCTTGCACACATATTCATTCTACTCTCAACATGTATAGCAACTCACTACTCAGGACATACAGAAATTGGCAGGGTATTTGTTTCAAATTCTATTTGCTTTGTATTTACAGTATATGCTGGTGAACATAATATACATATACCCACGTGGGCGTCTAGACCAGACTGTATATGCTAAGCCATAATTACTATATATCAGGAACTCTCAAATACTTTTGCCTTCATTTAGGGAATTTCTCAAATCAGCTCCTCTAGGGGAAACTGAAAAGTGTAAAGGCAGGAGAGGAGAGAAAACAAAAGAGAAATGAAGAAAATCTACCCTTGCCCCAAACATTTAACTTGGGGGTGAAGTGACCAAACTCTACAGCTTTGGAGAAACCCCTAAGGCTGGAGTTGGAGACAAACACCCTTCCTGTGGACTTCCACGTGGGAAAGTTTGGCTCCTTTTTCTCACCTCCTTTAGTCCCTATATAGACTGGAAAACCCTCACGGAACCCCTGATTTCATCCTTACGACTTGGCGAGACTGTCACTCTTCCCAGCGTTAGGTGCCTCTTCCCTTTCAGTTCTTGGGGACTGTTGTAGTTGTTAAGTGTCAACCCTGTACAGAGTTTCCAAGGAGCAGCTGATGGGTTTGAACTGCCAAACTTGCAAGTCAAACCGAACTTGCAATTCAAATCGAACTTGAGGTTGAATGCTTATCCTTTGGCGCCATACCAGGACTCCTCTAGGGGACTAGCCCAAACCAACTCTCCCAATTCAATGCGGGTGGGCTGCTGTCTGCCCACCACAGCGCTATCCCCAGAGGAACTCCTCTGCTTTCTCTGGTTGGGACCACAGTTAGAGGGGATTGCTGACAGCTTTGGAACCAGGAGCCTCCACCAGCTGAAGGAAAAGGCTTTGCACATCTCCTCTGTCAGCCCTGTGCATAACATACCTGCACATTACCAATGAGGTGTGAATGAAACACAGTCTCTCCCAGAAAGCACTCTCTGTTAGTCACATGATTATTACAAAGTCCAAAATATATGCCTTTCTTCAGGAGAATGACAGACCTACACACCTCCCACTTTGTCGCCAACATACAACTAACACTGTGCACTCACCTTTGCAGCAAGCACAGACTGCACAAACATTCATAGAAAGCACAGACAAGCTAGCAGCAGCCCACTTTCAATTCTGCATCTCTCCTTAGCCAGACAGTGGAGCAGCGGGGAGCCCCCCCACCCCCACCCCACCAGCCTCTCAGGCTTCATGCTACAGCTGAGCCTTTTTCTCATCTGAGCCTCTCATCTCTCCTCTCCAGATAGTTTATGACAAAGGGTCCTAATCTGGAGTGTTGCCCCTCAGAACCACAAGGTTTTGTCCTTGGCCTTACACCCTACCTCAGGAAGCTCGAGGGAGGAGGGGGCTCCTGAGCTGTAGCCACTTCCCCTTGGGCCTCACTAGGCTCAACACAGAGTCCAGCCACAGCTAGAGCACCAGTGGGCTGAAGTGAGAGGCCCGAGTTTCATTTCTTGCAGCCCCACAATGGCTATCCACCCACTTGCCAACTCAGACCAGGAACCATTGCCCTCCAGGTTTTGTGGAGGGGAGAAGGGGAGGAGGTTCAAAGATGCGGGCTCAAGAAGGCGTCTAGCCCAAGGGCACTTGGCCATCTGAGTATTGAAAGCCTAACACCCTAATTCTCTTTGGTGCTGTAGAATGAAACTGGGTCCAGCTCCTGTAGGTTTTCAGGGAAGCACCAGTTTTAATTCATTATTAGAAAAGTTTCAGTAAAGAAAGAGAGAAAGTGAGAGAAAACAAATCAGATTTCTACAGCCACATAAAATGTTCCCTTGCTGAGACTCCTAAACCTTGACCCCGTATCTCAAGACAAATTAATTCTGATGATTAAAAATAATAAGGCAAATATCACATCTTACATTTGTACAGAGTTTGCAGTTTATAGAGTTTTTCTGAAACCAGGATTTTATCTGTTTGAAAGGAATTTTTCTTAAAGTAAAAAAAAAAAAAATTAAAGTTTGAGAACAATATAGTGAAAACACAGCTCACACTCCTAGTCTGAGTAGAAGGTAAAATACAAACCTGCAGGAGTGCAAAAATAGAACAAATTCTACCTACAGTCTTGTCTTATGACAGGAACCACTCATGTCACTCTGAAGACGTTAAACAGCGATGACGCAGAAAACAAACAACTCCGGGGAAACAAAGCAGCAGCGACAACCACAAATGTCCCCCACTCTCGGTCTTCAACCCTTGTTCAGATCACGCTGAGAAGGATAAAGTGGCTGGAAACGTCTTTTAACTAGCTGCTGAACAGCTTTAGGTGCAGTAGAAATAGAAGCCCGCGTTAAAAGAAAGAACAAAAATTTATTCGGGAATTGACAAGACTAAAAATATACAACAAAAGTGCTCTGGTTTTCGCTAGAAAATTTGGTCCCCCAAAAGACATATTACAGAACAACCAGATCTAGGGTACTCTGGCCGCCAGCTCAGGGGCCATAAGGCTGGCTAGGCCGGCCACTGGCGGATTTCACATTTCTCCTTCTTCCCAAGGTGGAAGAAACAAGATGTTTGGGAAAATTAAAAAATAAGGCTGAGGGAGGATCCATTTCTGTAGTGATTGCCAGGCAGGCTGAGAGCTTCTGGCACCACACCCGACTAGCCTCGAAAGGTCCCGGGAATTTTTTGTTTTATTATTATTTTTTTTTTTAGATGGGGAGACGGGAAATTTTCAATTCGTAGAAGAAGCCATCTTTTACTAAGTGTTTTCTCCTACCTCTCAAAACATACGTTTTGGAAGGCCCGACAGGAATTCTACGTCAAATATCCCAGAAGAGAAGTTCGTCACTAACACTTTGGATTTCCATGTTTTACTTTCGTGAACTCCAGGCCACAATACTTCGCCAGTTTTCCGGGTGAATTTTTTTCTTCCTTAAAAAACATATATTTAATATTATCCGAAAAATCTTACGGCCCTTTTGAGCAAAACTTTGATAAACCTGCAAGTGCCCCAAACGCCGGGATGGCGAGCGCAGGAAACTCAGCCTTCCTCCCAACCGGGATGTAATGTAAACCCAGTACCCAGAAGCAGGCCGCGAAGACAGGCGGCCCTGGCTTGCTTAGTGGGCCTCGCTACAAGAGGCTCCAAGAGGGTTCGCAGAGCAAACAGAAACGTTCGTCTCTTTTTTCGGCGGTGCGGGTCCCATGGCTTGCCCAGCGCCGCGCTTCTAGCCCAGGATTGCGCGGCGGCCGAACGGGTAAAGATGAGCACTAGCTCACCGATCTGTGATCTTGAGGACCGAGGGGTCTGCGCCGCTGGCTCAGGGCTACAACTCGGCCCCAGATACTTCCTCTCCACCGAAAATTTTGGCTTGGGATGTCCAGCCTGGACGCCGAGGCACCGGGAGGAGACAAGCAGAGAGCGCGCGCAGAGGCGGTTTGCAGGCCCGGGGAGTTCAACGGCATAGGGCAGAAAAGAGCACGGGAGGGGACTTGGAGGAGACAAAGAAGAAAATACAGAAGCTGAGGGGTGCTTGGAGGCGCAGAGGGGTCGTGGGCGCTGTTTCCAGAGGCCGCCTCAGCCGGCGCGCGATCCAGGTGGTGGCAGTGGTTATGACCAAGGCCGACGTCGTGCGTCTCTGCATTCGTCCTCTCATCCGTCCGCGCCGAGGTACCTTAGAGATCGAGACGCGAGTGCAGAGCACTGGCCTTGCTGTCGTGGTCCCAGTAAGAGCAGTGCATCATGGCGAGCTCGGGCTGGCGGGCACAGGCAAACTGCAGGCCCGGAGCGCTGGTGGGTGCGGGCGCCGGGGGCGCGGCGGTGGCTGGGCTGGCTGGGCTGAGCTGGCCCGGGGGTGGCGCGGCGGCACCATGGTGTGGCGGGGCCGGCGGAGGTGCTGCGGCCGAGTGCAGATGGTGTGCGTGCGGGTGCGGGTGCGGGTGCGGATGTGGGTGGGAATGCGGCGGCGGGGGTGCGGCCGGAGGGCCTCCCAGGCCGTTGTACGAGTTCACTACGCCTGGGGGCAGAGCCATACTTTGCACGCGTGAGTACGGCCCGTACGACGCAGCGGGACCCGCCAGCCCCTTGACCACTGCGGCCGCACTGGGGCTGCCTGGGCTAGCGGCAGCGGCCGCCGCTGCTGCTGCTGCTGCGGCGGCCGCCATCTGGCAGGAGGCGTAGGGCATGGGTGAGGGCGGCTGCGGCAGCGGCCACGAGTTGTTGAGGAAACCGGACTGCAGGTACTTGGGGGGCGCCAAATAGCCGTAGCCGTCGGCGCCCGCGCCCGGTATGCCGCAGCTGCCTGCGGCGCCTCCGGCCGCGAAGAGCCCCTTACCGGGCTGGAAGTGCGCGGGCGGCGGCCGGAAGGGCCGCTTCATGCGGCGCCGGCGCCGGTAGTTGCCCTTCTCGAACATGTCCTCGCAGGCCGGGTCCAGCGTCCAGTAGTTGCCCTTGCGCTCGCCGCCGCCCTCGCGCGGCACCTTAATGAAGCACTCGTTGAGGCTGAGGTTGTGGCGGATGCTGTTCTGCCAGCCCTTCTTGTTCTTCTCGTAGAACGGGAACTTGGCGATGATGTACTGATAGATGCCAGACAGCGTGAGCCTCTTCTCCGCGCTTTCTCTGATCGCCATGGCGATGAGAGCCACGTACGAATACGGGGGCTTTTGCGCCGGGTCAGCCTTCTCCGGGTTAGTCCCGGCGCCGCCGCCGCAGCCCTTGCCCGGGCTCGGCGGCGGCGCCTCGGGCTCTTTGGCTGCGTGGCCAGTCTCCGGGGCCAGTAGGGTTCCCGCGGAGTCCTCATGCTCGGGGTAGCTGGTCATCATGACAAAGCCTGCGTGTCGCGGCCAGAGGGCCGCCCCAGCTCCTCTCTCGGCGCTAGCGCGGGGATATGTCTTGGCGCACGTATCCCAAACTTGTGGAGACTGTGTTGCAGCCCGCGCTCGTTCGCTCACGGCTTCTTACTCTTTTTGCTTCTTCTTTCCCTTCCCCTAGGGAGCGGCCGACGGGAATGGACCTCAAGCTCTGACCATGGGGAGTCCGCCCAACCGAGAGGGGCTCCGGCCCCGCCGCCCCTCCCCACCAGGCCAGTCCCCGCCTCGGTGGGTTTTCTTTTTGCGCTCTCCCCTCCCCCCACTCCACCCTCGCTTTCCCCAGGCACGACCCGCGTCTCTGGCGGAGCTGCCTCCTGGACTCCCTAGTGCGCCAGGAGCCTCTCTCTGTTCTGATTCGTATGGGCTCGTCCGAGTTCCGCTTGCGTCAGGCGCCTTCGCCCCTATAGCGGGGCGGCCAGCAGTGCACGGGCGAGTTCATCTCCAAGTCACTTTCTGTAAACGCCCCGCATAGCCAGGGCTGGCCTGTCCCCGCCCGGCGAACCTCGGGGGCCCGGCGAATAGTTATGCTCACGGTCTCATGGGCCTTTGAAATCTTCTGGCGCTTTATCTGTGGACTGAGTCGGGACTGAGCCGGGGAGATGCCGAGGGCTTCAGTGGGGTCCTACCGTTCACGGTCTGTGCCTTTGGAGCTTGGGCTCCAGCGAGGAGCGGCGCTCCAGGCCTCCTTGCTGCTTTCAGGTGAAAGAAAAAAAATTCTTTAGCTTTGTCCTTAGCTGCTTTCTTGGGACTACACTTCTAGGTCGGATTTGAGAGGGGAGGGACGTTGAGGGGGCCAGCCTCGGAAAAGAGCAGCGCGGTGGCTTTGGGTAAACCAGCACAGAAACAGGGTTATCACTGAGCGAAGAAACCTAGGCCTGTCTTGTCCCATGGGCTCTGCGAGAGACTGGGCTGAGATGGGAGTCAGGAAGAATCATTTCGAGGAGGGACCCAGGGGCGTTATTTGTAACCTCCGGGTCTTCCCCAGCGCTGCTCTAGTTACTAGGCAGCGCACCTCTCTGCATTGTATTCCTACGGGTTGGAATGAGAATAGAATGAGGATTGGGTGTATGCTCTAATATGAAGTAGGCACCCCCACCCCCGCGGCACTCTAGCCTAATGTTTTGGTGGGGTATGGGGGGACTGTGCATATAAGTGCACAGATAACACAAATAGAACTGATAGGGAGACTGTCCAGGCGCATTTACGCTGGTGCAAAAAAAAAAAAACAAAACACAGTCATGCACACGTACAATGTGTTAGCTTTATATTTATGGGCTAAAACACATTGACAGTTATACAGTGATATATGATGTCAACATGTGCCAGGGTAGATAATGGCTCATAGATACAGCATCATTTGTCTTTTTCCTAGCTTTCTCTCTCCTCTCTTTTTCTGTGTTTTCTAATCTCTCTCTTTTCCCCTCTCCTCTTTCCTTTCTGTGTTTATTATATGCTCTCACAGACAAGAAGGAAAAAAACAAGACTGAGGGGGAAGCACTTGTTCAAATTTCCCTCATGACAAGACATTTGTTCTGCTCTTTCTCCAGGGTTGAAAGATGAGTTCTTGCTTCTATTCAGCAAAAATCTTATTGGAAGCCAGTTACATCAGCATGTCACAGGAGAAATCATCATTAGTGGGAAAAGGTCAGATGTGCCTTTTAATGGTTAATTTAGCTGTAAGAAAAAAGGGCAATCATAAAGTATGAAAGAGATGGCCACTGTTTTCAGTTCCCAAGCCCCAAACTCCTTGGCTTTTAAAAGGGGTGGAGGTGGAGGGACTAAGATACATTGTGGAGGAAGGTAAACGGAATGGATGGCATGCAGATGTGTTAATGATTGGCATGTCTGGAGTAACAGGCTCAAAGCTTGTCATTACCTCTTTTTCTCAGGTTGCCCACTTACTGACAATCCTTGGAAAGCCTGAGGAGCCCACAGTAAGTGATGACCTCAACATCCATAGGTCACCTATGTTATCAATGGCCCGCTTCCTACCTAGGCCTCTGGTCTGGATTCTGAGATGAAAGGAAAGGGAGGACAAGGTTTGGGGACTCTACATTTCATTATCTTGACGATGAGTCTAGAGAGGTAAGCTGGGCAACCCGCTCCGCTCCAGACCACCAGAATGAGATGCAGCAAGATTCTCTTGAATTCACCTTTGTTGTTATGTGCTGTGGAGTTGGTTCCAACTCATAGTGACCTTGTACAGGGTTTCCAAGGCTGTAAATCTTTACAGGAGCAGAAAGCCTCATCTTTCTCCTGTGGAGCGGCTGGTAGTTTCGAACTGCTGGACCCTGAGGTTTGCAGCCCGATTCGTAACCACTACACTACCAGATCTTCCTTGAATTCTCTAGATAGACATTATTTCAAAGTAGAGTTGTCTCCTGCAGCTCCCACACAGGCAGGTTAAGCAGCACTTAATCCCACTGTGACCATTTCCTGAGTGGGTACAAATGTTTTGTTTTGTTTCTCCCCCTCCACACCCTGATCTGTGCCCAGGCTAGGAGTGATTCAGGTTTGATGCTGCAACAGATTGACCCCAGTGTCCATGCTCTCACAGCCTGGGCAGGGGAAAAACAGCTGGATTAGGCCCCACACTGACGAGGCTGCTCTGCTTCTCTTTTTTCTGACCACCCAGGCTGGCTCTAAGTCACTCTTCCCCCTCAAAGGCATTTCCGCCTTTTAGCCTCACAGCAGCCAGGTGTAACAGCATTGTTGTGTGTGTCATCACTTCCCTGAATTCCATACACTCGGCTCCCTTTTCAGCCTTTGAAGGAGTGTGTGTATGTGTGTTCGGGGTGGGAATAAAAGGAGTTACTCTGAAAGATTTTCTGAATGGCCATAAGAGGACTCCTATTCTCCCCAGGTATTGATTTCTCAGCCCAGATGATAAATGGATGCCCAGAGTGTGGCACTGGTAGGGGTGTGCTCAATCTCTTTCTAAGACACTGGGTCTCACTGCTGACTGGCTTTGGAAGATTCAAACATACAAGGAAATGCAGTCCGGAAAGTGTAGTAGGTGTTAACCTCCAGGACCAGGATCAATCCACGCCCCTGAGGAGAAGAGAGGGGTTTTGAGCTGGCATTAAAATCTAAGATCAGAGTGCTCTCCTTGCTGTGGGCCTGTCTGAGGCCCGGGATGCAGGCACACCAAGAGGCCGTGAGATGCCCTCTGGTTTATTTCTTATACCTCCTGGGCAGGCTTCCGGGCAGGTCGGGATCGTGTTGAGCCTAGCAGGAGATTCGCGGAGACTGCGTAGATTCCCAGGGCTGCTCCTCTTCTCCTGTGGCTTGAACAGCGACGTGAGGCCGGGTTCAATGACTTCGGGCGGCGACTGTCTCCAAGAGCGAGAGCCTGAGCCGCATCTTCCTCATCCCGGGGTTCCCGAGGTCCGTAGGAGTCCGCAGCTGCTGCTCTGAAGCCGCGGGTGCCTCTTGCCGGTCTTCCTGCTGTAGCGCGGCCTGCGCACGCCCTGTCAAAGACGCGCAACCGAGCGCGGCCCCTTCTCCCGCGCCTCCTCACTCCTCTTCAATTCTCTCGTCTCTGAAGGAGGGAGATGCATCTGTGCCCAGGGCCAGGGCCAGGAATCCCGCAATGGCAGTGGAAACGACCCTCCCTTGCCTGGCAAATGAGTGGAGCTGTAGCACCGAAGCAGCGTTCTCTCAGCACCGCTCAGCTCGACTTCCTGGCCCAGGTTTCCCCTCCTCTTCCTGAGCAGAACCCTGAAAGACCTACACGGTTTCCCAATCCTGCTTGGAGAGAGAAAGGCCCGCTACAGCTTCTCTTGGTGGGTATAATCTCAGTGGTGGACACAGCCCTAAAGGGAAGCTCGAATTTGCTTATTCACACACCCCTATAAACTCTACATCTCAACAACTGTCAGCGCTTAACCTACTCCCCCCCAACTCAGATTTCTCACACCTCATCACATGGACCCCATGCCCCTCAATATAGGCCAGATTCCTCAGTCCATTTCTCTCTTCCTCTCTCAGTTAGCCCTTTATCCCTTCGAGTCATTTCTCCCAGATTCCCTCATATTCACCTCTAACATATACTAGATCACACCTGCACATTTTGCTAAATAATTTTGTTAAACTGATGCCTCCAACTCAAAACTTTTTCATTCTCTTTAAGTCATCTCACTATGATCTCTGTGATGTGGATAGTCTTACTTCCAGAAGTCTGTCGACTCTGATATTCTTGGCCTGTAATTAAGGTACCAGACTGCCACCTGGATATTGGACTGGTGGGGTTGTTGTTCTGAAGACTTTCAAGAAAATCAGATGCACTTTAACACCTGTGTGCCACTCACATGGGCTTCCTCGCTGTATGAAGGGTGCATTGCTCTCCAGAGCTCCTCAGACTGGCTGACTGCAGCCTGCTGGACTCACACAACTCTCTTGAACATAGACACATAGAACCAGGCCTGAGGCCAGCCAGTATTAGTCTGCCTGGTTGGAATTAGCAGAGTCACTTACCCAGATATGTGCTTAAGAGAGAGAATGAAAGAGGGGAAAGAAGAGAGAGAAACTAGAGAGGCCAAGCTATGGGTTCTCTCCTCACTCTGGGGAAGAACTCGAAGATAAGAAAAGAACTGTTTCCAGTTGGTAAGTGTCTTCACTGAGAAGCTTCCCCACCTCACCCCATCTGGCTCTCCCTGTGGGTGGCAGGACACTGAGGCAGGACACTTCCTTCCCTCACTAATGTTGGACCACAGATTTCCCTGGCACCTCCTTGCCTCAAGGAGTTTGTGTCCCAACTTCCTTCATGTCAACCGTAGGGCAGTTGTAGGTTTAACTTTGTACTGGTTAAGTCTAACTTGGAGAATGGGCAGAGTAGACTGGCTCCTGAGTCATGCAAGCACCCCCCTCTTTCAGAGTCCTCTGAGGATGCTCCCAGAGGATCCAGGGGGGCAGGAGCTGCTGGCCAGCTTCTCTGAGATACCTCATGACTCAACATCATTTTGTTCAGCCCTGAACAACTAGTCCCCTGGCAATAGACCCCAGCACTTGATGAAATTGGAAAATGCCTCCCTGCCAAGCCCCAAAGAGATTATTGGAAAATGGAG